CCTCTGGGAAATAATGTGCAAAATAAAATGTTTGCAGAGAAATAAGAAAGTATAGCCAAACATAACACCTTCCAAACATGAATAAAGGAACAACAAAACACCAAGAGATTCTCACTAGACTCTCTTCACAACAAAATGAGTACTTCTTTACAATTTAAACGTAAAGCAAACATATTACAGCATCATGGTCCACACACCGTATACCAGACAAATGAGTTCATAGCACTGTTTATGATATATTGGGTTTTGAAATTTTTAAATGCACCAGTCAGACATCTGCATCAGAGCAATGCAGGTGCCAAGCAGAAGACAGGGAAGTATGAACCTAAGACATGGGAGGCTGGAGCACCGAAGGCTCTTCCCACACTGGCCAGTGAGCTCTCAGGGAAAAAGGCCAAGCGATCTTTGTTCCTCAGCACACAAGGGCCTTCATTTGCCCTCCCTCCCAAATGACCAGCTTCTGGGACACTCAACTGTCACCTTTTATCTTCAAACGAGGCAGACAGATCTTGGTTTATCAATGTGGACCCGGAGCCCTTGCTCCTTCACTTGTTTCACCTCTGTGTTCAGCATTCTAATGTCCACTAACATCCCCAGGCATCAAGTAGCCCACGTCCTGTACTTGCTCGGATACCATGGTGACTGCCGAAAACAGCCTGCTTAAAATGGTTCCTACATTCTGGCATGGGAAAAAAGACTCACTCCAAGAAGACAGAAACCACTCGCTGTGACTCAACCATACAGGAGACCCTTCTCTGGTCTCATGGAAGGAGGGTTTCCCTCATGGTAAGCAGGACCAAGTTGCTTCAGCATCTCTCTACAGTTCCTTCTCACTGAGATACACAGGCAACATTCTGAAACCAGAAAGTGGCCCTCCTGTTCTCAACCCACACACCACAGGCCATGTGATCCGACAGGGGCCTAGCTAAGAGGCAAGAATGCAGGGTGGGCGGCAATGACACACCCGATCCAGGCCACAGCCTGCGGTTCTTTTCTCCTCTGCCACTGTCACCTCTAGCATTCCCACAGGCCAGCAAAGAGCAGGCAAGGACCAGCCAAAGGCCAGACTGCGCACTCTAAGGAGACCTTTCAGGGCCCACCCTCAAGCACCGCCTGAGCATGAGGTCAGCCTGATTGTAGCACCACAAAACAAGCTGACTTTGTGGCCACATAGCCGTCCCCTGTGAAGGGAAAAGGATTGTTTCACCCAGAGTGACCTCACTCTCTATGCAGGAAGCCTGGCCAAGCCATCTTTAAATAGGTACATTCAGAGGCAGGCATGAAACATTGACAACCGCCCAGCGAGACGCCAGGGTTACACCTTCTGTCCCCCTCCCGCTCCATCTCATCTCTGATCTCAAGTCACCCCAGTGAGCTCACTTCCCTCAATCTCTCCCTGCTCCATGATCACACCTCTGCCTGGGTCTCCAATGGCTGCTCCTCTATCCATGGACCAAGTGCCTTATCTTAAAACAGAAAGCTCAGTGGGATCTGGTCATGTGACACACTGTCTTCTCTTTTCCTGTCCCTCTGTGCGTGCTTATCCTTGTTCTTTCTCTGCCTTTCTAGCTACACAGCCCAGGAGCTAAGCACATATTCTACCCAGGTCAAATCTCAACTCTACTTCCAAGTGGCTGGCTATAAGACCGGCATAAGCTGGTTAGGTGACTCTGCTTCCTCACCAGTAGAGTGGGATAATAACAATACCTACTGCATACACAAGAACAGTGGTGATGAAGGATGAAGATACAGGGAAAACACTCAAACTAACATCTGGCATATGGCATTACCCTAAAATCCCAGCTCTTACAATACTTATTATGTATACACACCACTGCCTCTGTGAAGCCTTTCCTGGGCAACACCAGTCAACATCTTCCTTTGGAAGATTCTGCCAGGAGTCAGGAAGCACAGATACTGGATGGAATTGTTAGGGCTGTTGCATGGGGCAGGAGCAGGATACTTAACTAGAAATCTGGTGTGTAAAGTATTATACAATATATGCCTAAAACACATAGCTGTGACTTCTAAATTACCTATACAATTGCAATTGCAGTAAGAGATGTTACATTATAGCACAGGCATAGACTTTCATCTCTTGGACCTAAGGCTTTCATTGTACTCGTACTGAAAAGTTAAAGAGTCAGGCTTATACCGATAGCTGAAACACAGAACTGTCACGACAGGACCTCAGTGGGTCATCAAGCAGCTGCTCATGAATTTAAAAAGCGAGTATTACACTACTAAAAAAATAAAAGTAGTGAAGGAGGGCTGGGGTGTGGCTCAATGGTAGAGGACCCACTAAGCCTGTGTGAGGTTTCATTTAAACGGATGAATGGAAAGGGAGCTTCAACAGACCTCAGTCCAGGAAGAGTTCAAACCAATCCTTCCAGTATCCTAGCTCCTAAATTTTTTTAATTTAAAAAGTTTTATTTTTAATGATATATATTTTATATTTATATTATTATATATTATTATATATTTTTATTTATATATTAATTTTTAAATAAAATAGGAGTTGGGGCATGCACAGAGGCCAGAAGAGGATGCTATCTCCCCTGGGACTGGAGCTACAGGTAGCTGTGTGTTCTATGAAGTGAGTGCTGGGAACCAAACTCGGTCCTCTGCAAGCACGGTATTTGTTCCTAACTGCTGAGTCGTAGTCCCACCCCGTAAGTTCACATTTCTTTCCCCAAACACATTAAGTTAAACCATGACACCAGGAGGGACCGGGTGGTAACTATCTCAATAAGCACAAAGCCAGTCTAGCTGGGACCCCTCCAGGCACCCAAGGCCTTAGACGCTCTGCAACAAGCCTCTACGGATCTTGCCTCATGGAACCTGTTCTTTTCACCTTGTTGTAGGCCTCAGAAAATTTCCCATCATTTTTTCTGAGTGACAAACTTCACTTTTCATCTAAACATACATATCCCCCACTGTGGGGCCTTCATCAGAGGCTTTACAGTAGTTTATTCTGTAATCAAAAACATGCAAGTACAATTAGAAATGCATTACCCAACAGGAAACTCAATGGGCCGATTCTAACTAAAGGGTAAGCAGGATAAAAATAGACCAAGAGCCTGTAAGAGAAAGGTTGTGCGGCTGAGATACAGGTCAACAGTTCAGGGACTGCCTAGTACACGCCAGGCCCCGGGGCCCACTCCTAGCATAAAGAGAAGGGGAACGAAAATGGCTGTTTTAAAGCAGAATGTATCTGAACGGCCACAGTGTGGCCCAGTACTGGGGCAGTTTGCTTAGGAGCTGCTCCAGCTGAGACCATAATCACTGTAGAAGGGACGCAGCACCATTGTAGGCCTGGCTGCTTTACCACCTCACTGCCTGCCTGGGAGGATGAGGGTCAGTGTTATTTTAAAGGGAAACAGACTTGGACGCTACACTTTCATCTACCAGTTCCCCTCCACATGTGGTCCTCTCTTCCTGGCCAACTGTGCCCTCGTTGAGGAAAGCTGTCGTGAACTATGCCAGTGGAGCAGAGGTGAATAAGGCTGATTGGTTTAGGAGCTGAGGAGAAAGCTGACCTCACTGCAAATACAAACTGAATGGTTTCGTGTGACTTGTTAAATAATCAACGTGATATCTGGTCTCTATTTGCTGACATTTTAGTCTCTTGTCTCAAAACCTAAGACAGGAAGAATTGTGTTGTTGATTGGGCTTTCTTGAGACTTCAACACACTATACTCAAATACAGCTCAGAGAGGCCTGCTATGTGGAAATAGGAAAGACCCCACACCCATGTCCATAAACATCATATTCCAGAGAACCCTGAATACACACTGCCCAAGACATGGCTGGGACTCTTCCTCACTCCTAGAGACAACACCGGACAAGTGATATGTCTAGAAAAGTTAAAATCATCACACTCTACTTCCTGGTATCTGTGGCACTGTCTAAATTGCATCATCTTTCCATAGAGGCTAAATTAAGTGTGTACAGCCAGCTGTGACTTGAAATCCCAGCAGCCATCCTTAAGATAAACGGACGTGCAGAGTTCTACATGCAGAGACTGTGTTTTTATTAGAAACAGATATAAACAAAGAGAGACAAACATAATCCTCTGACATCAACGTTCTCCACCAACAGCATTCAACTATGGATAGCCTACTACTGAGGACAAGGCTACAGGGGGCTGGAAAGATGGCCCAGTGGCTTGCCTTGCTGCTTAAGCATGAAATTTTGACTTTGAATCCTAGCACCTATGTAAAATGCTGGGCATGCCCATTAACACTTCTAACCTTAGCACGGTGGATAAGAGTATCACTGAGGCTCGCTGCCCTCCAGTCACCAGCCTAGCTCTAGGGTTAGCGAGACAGGATCTCAAAGGGACAAGGCAGAGAGTAACACGTAGAACGCCTGGTGTTCTTCCAGCCTTCATGAGCAGTCAGACACACTTCTGTGCATCCATCAGAGATATACATCACATTCTTAGACATACTTACACATCATACCAAACATCAACTAGTTGATTAAAGATCCAGCTGTTGAATGGCTTGCCCGTTTGGCCTGAAAGCAGTGGACAATCTTTAAGACAATTCAGAGACCAAGTGTGGTGGTTTGAATGAGAAATTCCCCACCTCCTCCATAGCCTAGGGCATTTGAACACTAGGTCCCCAGTTAGCTGGTGGTGCTGTTTGGGGAGATGTAGGTGGTATGGCCTTGATGGAGAAAGTATGTCACAGGAGGTGGGGAAGCAGGCTAAATATAAAGGCCTGTCCACTTCTCCTCTGTTCTTTCTGCTTCGTGCTATGGTTCAAGTTGTAAGCTTTCAACTCCGTGCTGCCATGCCTACTATGTGCTGTCATGCCAACCCACCATGATGGGCTCTTATCCCTCTGGAACCATAAGCTGAAATAAACTCTTCCTTGTGTAAGTTGCCTTGTTAGAATGTTCACAGCAACAGACAAGTAACAAATCCCGGTGATGTTGAACCCAGTCCTCTACGTCAAGTTTCTAATATAACTTCTCAAACCCCACAGACTTACGTGCTCCTTCACTTGCTTTATCACAGAGGGTGACATCATCACACAGCAGAGGATGGTGACCAGGATGAAGTAGAATAAATACATGAAGCGGGTGGTCCGAGACTGTCGGAACTTAGGGCAGCAGCCACAGCAGAGGGTACAGCCAGCAGGTCCACAACAGCAGGCCAACTGGGAAAGACACAAATATACTCTTAGAGTGTGCTACTGTGACTTAGCAAGAAACATGGAATTGTTCTTCAAGGTCATGAAACACGAGCCTCTGAAACCACTGGGGTTCCAAGGGTGGGCGAGGAGTGTCTTCTTATTCATAACCCCCTTTAAACCACGGCTGAGTCTATGCTTACTGCCATGACTCTTGGTGAGTCCCTCTCCCCAGTCATTTTAGAGTGGAGTCTGCTTGTCAGAAGTCAGCCATGTGACACTGAAGATTAGAAATGTCAGCTTCCCGCTCTTTCCTCTCAGAGAGAGAATGGGAAATTGAGTTAAATGGCCAATGGCTGATGACTGAATCAGTTGTGATACACACTGGCATCTTTACAAAAACCCTCATCAGTGGGATTCAGAGTTTCTGTGTCAGTAAGTGTAGCCATGTACACTAAGAAGATGTGCCCCATCACTGTGGAAACAGATACTACTGGGGTCAGGACTCTGGAGCCCTGTACAATTGGCTGTGTGTCTAAAACCTTTATGGTAAGTAGGGAAACATAAATACAGAGCTTTCCCTAAGTTCTGTGAGTAATTTTAGCAAATTACTAAACCCTAGGTGGAAAGTCTAGGAACTCAGGCTCATACCCAATCAGATAGGCTATGGAGAGGTTCAGATTATGATCAGCCTCTGAAGTTGGGACAATCTTGTGAGACTGTATCAAACCTAGGTAGTGTCAAAGTTGAACTAAATTACAGAAGGTCCAGTTGGCATCATACACAGATCCACTACTTTACAAACACCTAGCTTTTGGCTGGTAGTCCTTCTAGGCTACAAAATGACTGTTCTTTTGGTCATCAGACCACAGGACATGAGAAGAGTCTGGTGCGTGGCAGAGCTTTTGCTAGAGTGAGTCAGATGCTGTCTCAAGTGATAAGCACTAATGACTTGGGAGATGGCCAGGAATAAACAGGAAAGGGACTTCCTCAGAAGTACACAGTCATTACACTTAAGAGAAAACAGAGGTTTCTGCGATCAGCTAAGAGAAAAAGCAACAGCTAAAACCTAGAAAAAGGATTCCATGAATGAGGAAGAACATGAAAAACAAGAAGCTGGACCCAACAAGACAGTGTCCAACTGTGACATCTAGGAATATGCTGGGAGGAAAAAACGGCTGTACTTGAAGAAGGGGGCCAGTAGCCTTTTGTGCAGGCACTGTTTCTCAGTCCTGTGCCCCTCAAGGCAACCTTTCTAGGCTACTGAGAGCAATAGGCTCAGTGGGCAGAGAGCTCCTGCTGTACCACAGAGTATATAGGTCTTTCACTTGGGAAAACTAGGTCACTGTGTCACCTATGGCCATATGTGCTGCACACGCATGTGGAGGCCAGACGTCTACACTGGACACTGCTCCTAACACTTCTCCACTTTATTTCTCAAGAGAGAATCTTCCTCTGAATTGTGCACTTCATTCACTCACCTAGATGAGCCTGCTGGCAAGCCCATGGGGGTTCCCCTGCTCCTGCCTCCAAGGGGATGGGATTAAAGAGGTGAGCTGCCACACCCAGTTTTTTTATGTAGGTCCTAGAAGTCAAGTCAATTCCTCTTGCTTGTATAGCACATACTTTACCAATTCAACATTCTTTCTGTCCCCCATTATTTGGGAAAACTAGGTCTTCGATAAAACACAGGGCAGCAGGGTAGTGAGTGGATAGCAGTTCAGGCAAGATATCAGTCTTTGTGGACTGGGAGTTAGATTCTGCCACCTAGAAATTAAGACTCAGTGTCTTCACTTATAAAGTAACAGTGGTAACAGAAGCTACATGCCCCTTATCCACTGCTGTGGTCGCTTGGAAGCCCCCTCAGCTGCCTCTGCTGTGAGGGAGGAGCTTTTTACACAACAGGGCTTCTATGACAGGAATAAACTGCTAATTACATCTGAGTCTGTGAGTATGAACACTGCTCTATACTGAACCTAAGCCTAATTGTTTGATTTCCTGAAAATGACCTGGAAGCTTAGGAACTTTGCAAAGCTTCACATAAGCACCAGTTACAAGACTATATCATAAACATCAAGTGCAATGAGGCTAGACGGTGTCACAGATCTCAGAAGTCTGGCCACGTCACAAGCTACCGCACTTACTTCATGAAAGCGCCAGTGTTGGAGTCTCTGCCCTTCCGGACTGTGACATGGCTTCAAATTCTTGCTAACGTCTTCTCGGCATCTTGCATTCAACTTTCCAAACCATCTTACTCAAAAGGCTAAACCAGCCATCACTTTAAAAACTTCTCCATACGCTGAGCCAACAGACCCAACAGACCGCGGTGCTAAGAGCGCTCGCTGCTGCACGTGCTTTTGTCACTTACAGCTGCATCCCCTTTACAATCCATCCATCCTGCTGGCTGGTGTCTTGTTATGGCCTCAAGCTCCTCCCAGGGGCTGGGATTGCAGGCATGCACCACCTTAACGCTCTAGGATTGAGCCCAAGGCCTTGTACAGGCAAAGCACTACCAACTCTACATCCACAGGCCACTTGGTCCCCATTGTCAACCTCCGATTTTATTGACCTCTTTCCGTATGTGTACAGATCTTCCTCTTTTGTTTATTCTCTTCCCTCCACCCCCAAAACAGCATGATTCTCGACACTCTCCCTCCTCTTTCCTAGCTTTTGTTGTCTCAGATAATCACACTTGCTGCATACCAAGTTCAGATATGACAAAACACCCTATTAGGAAAGAAAATTCCTGCTGGGCAGGAATTTTAATCCCAGCACTTGGGAGGCAGAGGCAGGCGGATTTCTGAGTTCGAGGACAGCCTGGTCTACAGAGTGAGTTCCAGGACAGCCAGGGCTACACAGAAAAACCCTGTCTCGAAAAACCAAAAAAAAAAAAAGGAAAGAAAATTCCTTTAGAAGCAGCTCGCTAAAATTTGAACCTTAACCACTGACCAAATGCAGCAAGACTTTCTCGGCCACATACAACCTAAGACAATGGTTCTCAACCTTCCTAACACTGTGACCCTTTAGTACAGTTTCTCATGTTGTGGTGACTCCAACCACAAAATTATTTTTGTTGCTACTTCATAACTGTAATTTTGCAACTGCTATAAACCATAAACTGCTGTGTTTTCTGATGGTTTCAGGCAACCCCTGTGAAAGGGTCACTTGACCCTCAACGGGGTCATGACCCAAATGTTGAGAAATCTGACCTAAGAGCAGGGCTGGAGCAAGATCAGGTCACAGAAAGGGCCTGGGAGACCCTGGCTCTCTGTCAGATGCTCCCCTCATGCTGCGCTGCCTGTCTCAGGCTCAAAGCACAGGGACACTCAATCACACTCTGAAACTCAGGCCGGGAAGCCTCTTCCCTTTACAGGCAATCATCGCAGGCATTTTAGAACAAGCTAAAAAGATTCAAGCTAAGGATGGAACTGTACCACAGCAGAGTCAATGGTTAGGCTATCTCCACAGAAGGGAAAATCAATGCATACAGATATTTAAATTTGTTCAAATGGTGACAGAAAGGATATGATTATGAAAAATGCTAAATTGAGGCAAGTGGTTTAATCCATATTGAAGCCATTTATCAGTGTATGCACCGAATTTGTCAAACAGCACTCTTTACTTGAGTGCTACGGTCCAGTGTAGAGAATCTGTCTAGCATGTGCAATGCCATGGGTCTAAACACAGTACTCAAAAAAAAAAAAAAACAGACATATGTACATTTATATGTGTGGACATATTGTATAAAAATTATAAAAATATTGCAATTCAACAATAGCCTTTCTCTACTATATCAAGAGTCACCCTTCAAAGCAAACTATACCAAGAAGCAAGGGAAGGCATACATTGTCTTAAGCTAAATTCTGACAAATGTACTACGTGGACGCTAAAAACAGTGTCTGTAAAAGGCACACTAGCATTCCAGGAAATTCTTACTCCACCTGCTCTGATTGACCGCATTGTGGGGGGAACACAACTTAGAATACAATAGGTTCATCCAGCCCCTGCCTCCAGAGTGCTATTACCCTGGCATAGCACTCCTCCAGTCCCTCATCTTAGACAATTCCTGGCTGGCTCAACTCCAGACTGTCACAAGCACGGAGGAAAAAAGCCACTGTTCTATTCCTAGCTCTACAGAGCATAAGCCTTTTGCCAAACAAGCCAGGCTTATAAGACAAATAAACACAGGGTTTACAGCACCAAGACTGAGCTGTAACGTAAATGAGGGACTTTGGGAAACAAAGGGAAGATACAGACTCATCGGGGATAACAAATGTGCCACTGTGCTGAGGGATGCTGACGAGAGGGCAGGTGGTCATGGGAAGACACTGATGTCATTAGGAAAGCTGGTCCTGAGGATGCTGATCCTCACTGAGGATAATGATGATCACAGGGGGATGCTGGTCACCATGGGAGAATGCCAGTCATCACTGAGGAAGATGCACTTCTGTGGTAACAGAGCATATGGAAAATATTTTTGTTTTCTATTCACTTTTGCTATGAGCTCAAAATTATTCTTTTTAAAAGCCTTTTGTTTAAAATAAAAATTAAAAATGAACAAAGCAGTGTTGTCTACCCTTGCCTCAGTAAATAGATGTTCAGTGAGTAATGTTTGATGATGTCATGTGGGTGGCAAATCCTCAAACAAAAGCATAGGCAACCCCAAGCCCTAGGCCTCCGTCACAAGCCACATACTGAACTCTGAGTCTCCCACCAGCATCGTATCACTGAGGACCAAGGGCTGGAATTTTCACTTTACTTCGTTCATTTCTTTTTGAGATTATAATTACATCACTTCGCCCTTCCCTGTCCTCCCTCCAAACCTTCTCCTATATCCCACCTTACTCCTTCAAATTCATGGCTTCTGTTCTCATTATTGGTGTTACATGCATATTCGTACATACATATTTCTAAAGACAAATAAACACCCTGCTCAGTCTGTATAGCGTTATTTGTGTGATGTTTTCAGGGCTGACCACTGGTATTAGATAGCTAATGGGTGCTCTTCCTGGGGGAAGGCTCTTCCT